AAAAATAGTATGTGTTCATTTCAGAAATTCAGTACAGAAGTACATAACGCAGAATGTAAAAATTAGTCTTAATTGTTGCCAGTATTTCCCCACCCCACCCCCAGCCTTCTCACTCCTCAGAGATAATCATTTCTAACACTTTGGTATATCCTTCAAGACCCGTTTTGCAGTATCTCTGTACCCTGGTGTCAGTAGCTTTTTACTGTGGTATCCATGTCTTTGAGAGGCCCCACGCTGGTCAGTAGTGACTGTGCCCATCATTGAGTTTGCCAGCACTGTCATTAGTGAGCTGTGCTTGTGAGGATGAGTCATAGTAGGAGAGAGATGTATGCAGTGATAAGGATAATACAAGATGAAGCAGATGTAAGGGAGGAACAGATTCACAGAGTGAAAACATACCTTTGACTGGCCAAGAGGTGAGATTTGAATTACACCCTGAAAGATGTCTGGATAAGATCTGCACTTACCTGCGGGGGCAGGTAAAAAGCAGATACACTGGCAGAAGAAGGGCAGAGATAGAAGGGGTCTGTAGGCTACTCCGTAAGAGCGTGCGTATGTGGGAGTAGCGGCAGAGAAAGATGTGAAGGTGCTGGAGGAGGACTCTGAACATTTCTGTAATGAACCTGTGAAAATTTTTGAACAGGACACTGACTAGAGATGTGTTTTAGGAATATTAATCAGGTATTAAAGGGGGTAGAGTATCCGTCACAGGCTTTGCAGTCATTTGGATAGAAAATTATCATAATGAGGTGTGCTAGATCTGTAGGTTTTCGTAACTGCCATATTCTATTAAATCTGAGAAGGCCTTGATTGTAAGACACACCTTATTTTATATGCCAATGAGGGTAAAGAAACACTGGCAACTAATTTTAAGACATTACTAAATTATAAAATGAATTCTGATTTCAGAGATCAGAATAATGAAGAAATATGCAAGATGAAATCAGTGAAGTAGCCAGTAGACAGTCTAATACATCCTCACTCAATTCAAGGTGGGGGGAAGGGGGAATGATGGGTTGGGGAAAGGGGAGGAGGGAGGAGGATGGGGGTGTTCCCACTTAATGGGCACAATATTAGGGTTTATGGCACACCTCTTGAGGGCAGGACACAATTCTAAGGGGGACTTTACCTAACAAATGCAAACATCATAACCTAATTCTTTGTACCCTCAATTAACCTGAAAACAATTTTAAAAAAGTGAAATAGGTTCATCATACAGACTCAGGGAAAAGATGAGACTTGGTGATGAAGAAAGGAGAGAGTTGGGAAAATGGGGACATGAGGTCAAAGACAAAAGTGAACAAGTTGGCTTTGAAAAGGAGGTGAATGCATGCATCATCCTCTGCCATGAGACAAAAGAATGAATTGAGTAATGGCTCAGCAGTATGGAAGTCGAGGAGCTAAAAAGATTAACTCATATTAAATCTCCATCTTGGCAAAAGAGATGGTAAAGTTATCTGCAAAAAGAGTGACAGTGATAAGTTGAGGGCTTAGAAGCTAAGAGGTAGGTACGTGAGGCTTTCGGTGGGATAAAAAAGACAGTTGGTTAAAAAGAAGCAAAAGATGGGCTGGGCATGGTGGCTCATGCCTGTAATCCCAGCACTTGGGAGACTGAGGTGGGTGGATTGCCTGAACTCACAGGTTTGAGACCAGCCTGAGCCAGAGTGAGACCTTGTCTTTAAAAATAGGCAGGCTTTGAGGAGGGCCGCCTATAGTCCCAGCTACTCAGGAGGCTGAGGCAACAGAATCACTTGAGCCCAAGAGTTAAAGGTTGCTGTGAGTTGTGACACCTCAGCACTCTACTACAGGCAACAAAGTGAGATTCTGTCTCAAAACAAACAAAATAATTCCCATCAGAAATGAGGAGCCTGGTTAAGGTTGGAAAGTCCAGATTTATAAAGAAACCAATTGGCCCTATTTTATGACTTTGCCTAGGAATACTTGGTCCCCTGAGATGAGGATGGAAAAAAACAAATGGAAGGTGCTTTCTGCAGGGTAGGAGATTGGACAGGAACAGTGGAAAGACAAAAAGCTAAATAATCTGAGCTTCGCCTAAGGGGTGTTGTTGATGGAGTTCAGGCTAAGAAATGAGAAGTGAGGTCCAAAGAAGAGGGATACATCAATGGAGATTTCTTCATTTGTTTATGTTTGGCAGGGGTGGACGTTATTAAGAGATTAATTCTTTCTTTCTTTTTTTTTTTTTTTTGAGACAGTGCCTCAAGCTATCCCCCTGGGTAGAGTGCTGTGGCATTACGGCTCACAGCAACCTCCAACTCCTGGGCTCAAGCGAGTCTCCTGCCTCCGCCTCCCAAGTAGCTGGGACCACAGGCGCCCGCCACAGCACCTGGCTATTTTCGGTTGCAGCCATCATTGTTGTTTGGCGGGTCCGGGCTGGGGATTCGAACCCACCACCTTAGGTGTACGTGGCTGGCGCCTTAGCCCATTGAGCTATAGGCGCCGAGCCAAGAGATTAATTCTTTCTAAGGGAAGGAGTAGATAAACTGAAAGTTGATTGAAGAACTTGAGAGTTTATGATCAGGGATGTAGAATTCTGAGGGTTGAGCCTTGACAATATCAGAAAGTTATCTTTCTAAAGCAAAGATGGACATACATCTCTGTATATGTTTGAACCCTCTAGGTTCCCTGTTTAGTTCAGGATAGGCCTCAGATGAAGCTCTTCACAAACTGGGTCCTTCCTACCTTTGCAGGCTAATAACTCCTCATTTCTCTGTGTGAATCTCATGTTCTGAGTGCACTGAACTCTTCTCCGTGCTGAAAACCCTCAAGGTTTTTACCTCCCATTTTGCTTTTGCACATACTGTTCCCTTTGGTGTGAAATGCTCTTTGTCCTCTTCTCTGCCTTGCAACCTCCTGCCAAAACTCACACGGCTCCTACCAACAACCCTGAACACACCTTATGCTGTGCTCCCACGGTGCTCTGTCTCTAGGTTCTGTGGCATTTTAACACTGGTATTTTTTTATATGTCTCCAGTCTCCAGTAGTTCATGGACTCCTTGAAGTCGGAAACTATCTAATTATATTCTTCATCCACAGTTACAAGCACATATTAAATACTTCATATCTGCTTTTGGTGCTTTTTAAAAAAAATTTTGAGTAAATGAACTAATCCAGTACCTCTCAGATGTTACTGTGCATTCCAGTCACCTTGAGTTCTTGTCAAAATTCAGACTCTGATTTAGTAAATCTGAGGTGGTGTCTGATTCTACCAAGCTTCCAAGTGATAGCCATGCTGCTGGTGCACGGAGCTAGTCCAGCCTGCTTTGCCTAAGCAGACAGTAGGAATGGAACAAAGACAAAGGCCATGAGAAATGTGTAAGTGGAGCAGTTATACAGGTAGTGACTTGGAAAAGTTCTCAGTGTCAATACTGGAATCTCAGAGATGATAGGGTCATGCAAGAAAAGATGCCCGAACAAAACAGAAGACCACAGTGGAGGGTGGTAGTCGACAAGACTAGGAGGATACACCTGTGTGACGTATGTTCTAGAAAAGAAAAGGCTGTGAGGCGGGGGCAGCTGTGGTCATCAGGGCTGCAGTGAATGCACACCCTCTGAGGAGGAGAAGGCTCGAGACAGGGGGGGAATCGGGTTTGGGGGTGAGTCCTGAGAAGGGCTGGGGGCCTCCCGTGCTCACTCATGGTAGAATGGCATTTCCACCATTGCAAACAGGAGTGCTCAGGAAATAAGAAAGGTGGGATTGAAGGGGAAGGGAAGTCCCTGAAAAAATAAGTAGTAGGATTTGACAAGGGAGCTTTTTCTGATACGAAGTTTCCAGGTTCAAATCATGAAAATCCTTTCTTTTATTAAACGCATGGTGACAGGAGTGTACTAATAAGCAGGGTGTTCTCACACCCAGTTTGGCAGGTCTGATAATCTGAAGGACACATTCAGCAAACCTAATTTTTTTTTAAAGTACTAAAGTCAGCCGGTACAGTGACTTAGACCTATAATCTCAGTACTTTGGGAGGCCAAGACTGGAGGATCCCTTGAGGCCAGGAATTTGAGACCAAACTGAGCAACATAGTGAGACTGTCATCTCTACTCCCAAAATACAAAAATTAGCTGGGCATGGCGGCACACACCTGTAGTCCCCACTACTCACAAGGCTGAGGCAGGTGGATCACTTGAGCCCAGGGGTTTGAGGTTGCTTTGAGCTATAATGATGCCACTACACTCTAGGCTAGGCAACAGAGCAAGACCTTGTCTCTAAAAGAAAAGAAAAAAAAAAGTAAGATAAAGAAAATGTTTAAATGTCTTCCCACTAAGTTGCTTCCCCCACAGTCAGTAATCGGCATGTATAACCTGATGTGTGCTTGTCCAGCTTTCATCTGTGCAGACTCACATACACACAGGAATTCTAACAATTTGTGGATATGACCCCTCAAAGTATAGTCTGGGGATTTTAAATTCTATAGCAGTATTCTCACACAGATATTATTCTGCAGATTATTTTTTTCACTTAGAAATATGTCATAAACATCTCTCTAGGTCAATGGATAGAGCTCTAATTTACTTTTTCCTAACTTATTTTGAAATAGCTGTGTATAAATATAGATGTTTCTTAATTTGTTCTGTTCTCTTCTTGATGGACAATGGGGTAATTTCCAATTTTTACTACTCCAAACAACATGACAATAAAAGAAAAAAGTCCTATTGCTCCCAATGCCTACGTAACTCCGTAACTTGGATCATTTATACAGGAATAACCTTCATGTCAGTGGTCACATGTAGCTATTTAGATAAATTAGTTAAATAAAATCAAAAGTCCATTCCTTAAATTAGCCATGTGTGATTAGTGGCTACCACATTGGATAGCATAGATAAGACTGTTTCTATTCTTGCAGAAAATTCCATTGGTCATCCTGGACTAAATGCTTTATTGTTACATCTTAGAGAAGAATATATTCTTCAGTGAGTTAGTGTTTTAATGAGAGCGCATTTAAGAAACTAAGAATTCTGTGTCTTGTTGGTTATGTCTGCAGTTACTTCAATGAGAATCAATACCCAGATGAAGCAAAGAGAGAAGAGATTGCAAATGCCTGCAATGCAGTTATACAGAAGCCAGGTGAGGTAACCAGCACAGCTCTGCCCTGTGGCGCAGGTCTCAGTAACAGATCAGCATTCAGCCTCACACTGTCTCAGCTTGGTGCTCTGCTCAGTCTGTGCCATCCTTCTGCAGGTGGCCACTGCCCTATCCTGTTCAGACAGGTACTCCAGTGCCCACACTGGACAGTTTCCAGGGAATGACCCTGCATAAGATGAGAGACCTTGAAATTAGTATGTTTAAGTGTTTGGACTTCTTCTAAAAATTTAGCAGAAATATATCAATTCCAAAATAACTTTAAAGTTTGGAATATCTGAGCAAATTTTGTTAGTAAAAAGATTAAGTTGTTTTTTTTTTTTTTTTTTTTAAACAATGTGAAGTGTATAATTCTGTATTTCTTTTGGGGGAAAGAATTCTTTTTGGATTTGGCTTCTGTTTCCTTCCCACATCAAGATGACTTCTGCTTAGCTAGGAAAAACTTAGGGCAGTATCATTTGGAAGTCATTTTGTTCCTGTTCAAGTCAACAGAACTGCTTAAGTATTTCCTATGTTTTTCCTTCCATGTGCTAAAATATTTCACATTTTACAGATTTTGTTATCCTTAAAACCATTTTCAGTTAATATAATCCAACTGATTTCCACCTGACTGGCTTAAAGGCTACATATAAAAGTAGCATCATTTTATAACAATAAAACAGTAATTTATTCTCCCTCACCTTGAAGCCAGACTTCTGGCAATTTAGGCCTTACCTCTGCAGCTCCAACAAAACACATAAATACATAAATGAGAGGAATCTGAACCCTATCTCACACAAGCCAGAAGTCCCACCCTAAAGCCACACAGGAACTTGAACTCTGCCTGGAAAATATTTTACCCCTTAATCATCAAGGCCCTAACAAACTCTGCTTTCTGATTTCTCTACCCACTGTGGATTAAAAGCTGAAGAACAGAAAAGGGAATGAGAGAAAGGAATAGTACAGGTGGGTCCTAATTGGCAGGCCTGGTGCTGTCCATAAGAAATCCACTTTGACTTTCAAAGAGGACAAATCTGAATTGCAGCCTGAATTGTGGAGTGTATTCCAGCATAGTTAAACAATAATCCAGGGTCATAGTGGCTGTTAGCCCTCGAGAAAATATGTATATTATTCTCTGTCTTGAGACAGCAGGAAACTAGTTAATATAAAGACTTAAAAATGTAAGTATGGTAAATTTCTGTTATCTAGAAACTTCATAAAAATAACTTACTCTTCTAGAATGATGCTAATCGATGAAGGCTACACAAAACTGTCACATAAACTTTGATCTGACACCCTAGGCGACTGACTTTATGGAATTCTTTAGCATGTGTTTGGCTTTCTGAATTGAAGCATACTGTGTCCTTAGTTGCTATTTGTGTATTCATTTATATGTTTGTTTAGTAATAACTGAATGTGTACATGGCACTAGGTAATACTAAAAAAATTCCCACTGTTAATTTGGCAAAAAAATGTAATCAAAAGCAACTTAAATAAAACAAAAATGTTATTTCTCAAAACTAATTCATTCTTGGATCCCAAATACAGATTATCTAAATTTTATTGCATCCATTCACAGGCAAAAAACTGTCAGATCTGGAACGAGTTACCTCCCTGAAAGTATATAATTGGTTTGCTAACAGACGGAAGGAGATCAAGAGGAGAGCCAACATCGGTAATGTATCAGCGCGGCTGCGTCCGCGTAGGAAGCACGGTAGCAGCTTTGTGTTTCTCTGACCAGTGACTTCAGTTTTACAAACTGCAAGGCCACATGACCCTGATTTGTAAGCCTGACAAGAATCACTCATGCTTTTCTTCATTGTTTTGTTGTTGTTGTTTTTGAGACAGAGCCTCAAGCACCCTTGGGTAGAGTTAGGTGGCATCACAGCTCACAGTAACCTCCAACTCCTGGGCTCAAGCGAGTCTCCTGCCTCAGCCTCCCAAATAGCTGGGACTACAGGCGCCTGCTACAATGCCCTGCTATTTTTTGGTTGCAGCCGTCGTCGTTTGGCTGGCCCGGGCTGGATTTGAACCCGCCACCTTAGGTGTATGTGGCTGGCGCCTTAGCTACTTGAGCCACAGGCACCAAGCCTCTTCATTGTATTTTTAATAGCCCTTAGTTAGTATTATTTATACTATTGTAACAGTAACACTATTACTATTTATAAAACTCATTGTCTTTAAAGTTCTAGAATAAAGAATCAGACACGGCCCCTGTACATTTTACGCCTGTACTACATATTAAAGATACTTGTAGGGTCTTGTGAGAAGGAATGTCATACCCTAAGCTTCTTAGTTATTACAGGGCTGTGACTTAGATATTAGAAATAACTGATTAATATTAATAATTTGAAATGAGAGATTTAAAACAAGGAACAAGGAGCACTTAAGAAATCTGGACTGTGTGTGGTGGCTCATGCCTCTGTAATCCTAGCTCTCTGGGAGGCCAAGGCAGAAGGAGCGCTTGAGCTCAGGAGTTCAAGACTAGACTGAGCAACAAAGCCCATCTCTACTAAAAACAGAAAAGTAGCTGGGTGCAGTGGTGCACACCTATAGCCCCAGCTACTCAGGAGGCTGAGGCAGGAGGATTGTTTGAACCCAGGAATTTGGGGTTACAGTGAGTTAGCATGATGCCCTACAGTCTAGCCAAGGCAACAAAGTAAGACTTGTCTCAAGGAAAACAAAAAACTGAATTCTTGATTGAGTCATTTCACAATTTTTACATGTATCCAAATGTTACATTATAGACTATTATTATATACAATTTTTGTTTGTCAATTAGACCTTAATAAAGCTGGGAGGAAACAAGAAAATGCCAGAACTGGTCTGGGGGGAACTATGAACATAACTAACAAAGAAATAAAAAGATGTTTTTCCCATTCAAAACTGTAGCAAAAAATAAGAAATTTAAATTCACGAGATGGGAGGAGTTGATGTCGAGCTTTTAAAATTGCATTTCATTTTTAAATATAGTTCCTATTTATCATTATAGCTCTCATATGCTTTATTAGAACCCAAAGACAGGAGGGCTGTTTATAGTTAGCAAGCATTTTTGAAGTACCTAACAGTTAACATCTTAAACTTAACATGCATAGTAGCAGACCCTCCAGAATGGCACATGTATGCCTCTCCTGACCTCTGTGCAGCTGAATTTTAGCTTTTTACAGTTTAAAAGAAATGTAGAGGAATGTAGGTTCTTATTTAATTACATTCTGATTTCCTTAGCACTAAAATTAATCTAGTGTTCTAGCCATTATGATAAGGTAACAGATAATTTAGGGATCTATTTGCTTTTTTCGAAGAAGCAGCAATCCTGGAGAGTCATGGGATAGATGTACAGAGTCCAGGCGGCCATTCCAACAGCGATGATGTTGACGGGAACGACTACTCTGAGCAGGTGAGGAGCTGGGCAGCAGGCTCAGGCTCTTGCTGATTGAGCAGTGGGACAGTGTGACAGCTCAGTTCTGGGGGTGTGGCTGTCCGGGGTGGGGGAGGGGAACCATTAATGTCCCTCCACTCTGCTCATGTATCTAGTTAGATTTTCATGTAATTTGAAAGGAATGTGGTAAGATTCAGTTGTCCTGTTGAATTTGTGAGAAACCGTTCTTCACCCACATGGATTTATTGTCATACAACAGGATACTTGGCAAGTACGCAATGGGGAGGAGGAGGAGGGAAGAAGTTCAGAGGGAGGCAGAGAAGCAGAGAAGGTAGAAGAAGAGAGGAGGATCTGACCCAAACAAGCAAGTTACACCATTCACCACACACACTCAGTGTTTGAGAAATACTAGGGGCCGTCGCGCAGGGCCCAGTGGAAGCCCCCACCCACTCCAGCCCCATTGCAGTAGGAGTCCTCGTGCCCAATGGAGTGGTTTTTACAGTCTCTCTGGCACATTGACACTCGCATCCTGTCGTAAATGCAATACCTGCATGACTCTCACCTCGCCCTGATTTACTCTGCATTGCTTGGGGGGAACTGTATTTAATTGTAGCCACTGCATGGAATAATTTAGTAACTAAAACTGGGGGAGTTTCTCCTCTCCACAGGTGTTGACAGATTTCATTAGAATTTATGTAGGATTTAAATTTCATTTCCATTTGAAATATGCAGAGAATGGATGGTTCCTTCCCCTAGACCTCAGCAAGACAATTCCTGTTCCTTGCTGTCTATACCGTTTCCTTGCCTCTGGGCAGTAGGGTCCTCATGGAGTCCACTGGGTGCTCTCTTCTCCCAGCAGCTGTTTATCAGCTTGAGTACAGATTCTCCAAGAGCATATGGTTCCCTTTTTAAAATCTAATAACTAATCTGTGGAAATCAAAATGAAACTGATACCCACACTTATCACTTTTTTCTCTTTTAGGACTCGTAAGTCATAGCCCATGTTTTACTTAGATAAGGGTCTCTAAGTCCTTCTAGTTGGAAACATTCCTATTATTTTTCAATCTACTGGTATTAGATGGATCATTTCCATCTTTTTTCACAGATGCCCTGAGGGCGGCACATCCATGCTTTTTTTTCCCCCTAAGGGACCTACCCTTTCCAAAGCTGATTCCAGGTTCCCCTAAAGATAATATTATAGTTGAGAAACATACCCCTAATTTGTAAGACAGAGCATCCTGTGAGGGGAGGAGCCCTCACACTGCCTCCAGGGAAGATGCCCACGAGGTCCCCTTGCTCAGCTACCTGCAGCAGGAGAGCCCCACACCCTGCTCCACAGCCATTTCTAACAATGACACTTTTGTCTTTTATTTTTATTTGTAAGATGTCAGTGTCTCTAGTTGTAAGTTTTGTCTAGTTCTACATTTCAGTAGAGCAATAGCATGAATTCTAATAATCTGTAGGAGTGCGAGCCTAGAAGGTACTGGCTCCCTAGCACGGCCCATGGTGATTAGTGCCATGTTTGTTACAAACAGAAGGACCCAAAAGATCGGTCTTGTACTTATCACTCCAGGTCTGATCGTCTTCACCAGCAGTCTTTCCAATGGAATGAATGAAATTCTCAGCCAGGAAAAACACTTTTAGTGCTTTTTATTTGTTGGATCATAAAAACATCAATGGAGAAAGTTGGACCTACATCCATTCAGTGTCTACTTAAATACAACTCACCTTTATCATGAGACCTTCCCCCACTGTTTCATTCTTTCCCTCGAATGTTCAGCCTCCCCTTGCCCCGGCATGCCCCTCTGTGAACTAGAGAATTGTACCAATCCCCCAATAACATTCATTTCTTATTTCTGCACATCTAGGATGACAGCACGAGCCATAGTGACCACCAAGACCCCATCTCTTTAGCTGTGGAAATGGCAGCAGTCAACCACACTATCTTGGCATTGGCCCGACAAGGAGCCAACGAGATCAAGACAGAGGCCCTGGATGATGACTGATGAGGGAGGTTAAACACGACGAGTTAACTTAGTTTAGATGTAGCACCTTAGCAGACTTTCCTCGGTCCTTAACATGTGTTCTTACAGTATAACTTGCAGTTTCTTGTATGTCAGGTAGCCGTTAGGGTCTTGTTCTGTGAAGATGGCATGGTGCCCTCAGCCTTTGCATATACTCTCTCAGTATTGATTCCCAGTAAATAATAACCAACCAACCAACCTTCCCTCTCCCAGCCCCTGAGGCTAGAAAATCCTGCTGCTCCGTCTTAGCATTCCAAGAAAGTGCTTCCAGGTATCTAGATAGCCCTCAGTTCTCAAATATTAGGCTATGTGTAAAACCTCGGGTGCGTAGATTCACGTAACACTAGTCTGTACCTCCTTGTCCTTCCCTAAGGCTGACAGGAAGCAAGCTGAGGTAGAGTCACAGGCATGACAGACCCCCTTGGGGAGTATCCACAGAGTCACAGGAACACTAGCATCCCCACCTCGGCGTGAGGATAATTGATTTCCAGCTGCAATAAGCCGTGCCTCCTTACAGTCACACCGTGGCTAGATCACACTTCTCTGGGTGCTGTGCTAAGAATGTCAATGGAGAAACTCCTCCTCAGATTTTGGTGGTTGTTAACATGCCTGACACAGACATCCTTTCCTCTCACAAGCTGTGTGACTTAGTAGATGAAATACTGCCTTCTGCCTTTGGGACCATAATTAAAAACAAAACAAAAAAGACAAAAAAAAAAATTAAAAAAAAAAAAAACCCAGCTTGAGAGCATTGGAAAAAACTATGAGCTGAATGTCTAATGGATGCGAAGTCCAGTTCTCAGAACCACTGTACATTCCACGGCACAGTTCCCAGTGCCTGTCTGGAACGTTCTGGAGGTCCTCATGGAAGTTGCTTTGCCTCCTGTCGGTGTTCCTTTTCCCTGCTACCAAAAACAGTCTTTCAAGGATGGAGCAAAAGTCAAAAATAGTGAAATACAGTCTTTTATCCATTAACTGAAGCCCCCTCGTTCTGAGAGGCTGATAGAGGACTGCACTGGGGTCGTGCTGACTGTCACAGATGCAAATACTTGCCTAAATAGGAGCAGAAAAAAGCAGGGGACATTGGCCACTTACGTGGTGGCTGTGTGAGACATGACAGGATGTGACTGCTTTGGTGTTCTCTTTACTCTGTCCTTGTAGAGATGTGAAAAGCTATTGCTACAGGCAATTTATTTAATAATTGGAAGCCATATTGATAATGGATGTGGTAATATTTGTAAAGTTTAATCTACTTTAAGCGGCAGTAACTAATGGAATTTTTTTCCTTGATCACATATGTAGCACTTTTGTTACTTTTTAAAGATATTTATATTTGATAAATCTTTTTTTCATTTTGAGAACTCAAAATACCAAACAGTGAACTTGCGTTATAGAGTAACCCTGTGATCACCTTGTCATCTCGTAGCAAAGTGATGAAGTATTCATGCATCAGAGAAAATTACATCTGCTGGCCTTGTATGAAATGATCTCTTGGCATCCCGATTAGATGACACACAGTCACTGTGGGTAAAGGAAACAGCCTTCCCTGGAGCAGCACAGGGTGCATCTGAAAGAGGCGCACTGCTGTCTGCTTGCTGCCTCGTTCCGCCTCTCCTTTCAGGGTGTAACGAAGCCTCGTTTCAAGGGGAGCATGGGGCTGGCTAGTAAGTGGGGTTTCTGTCTTTTTGTCCATTACCTGAAAACAGTTACTAAAATGGAAGGTGCCATTTTCTTACCTCTTCATCCCTCCTCCTCTACCAAATGTATTCAACTTCAAACTATCGAGAGCGAGACTGAGACTGACCTCCCTCCCTTGGTCTTCCCTTTCTCATTTGTGACGTACTGAATATCTGCCAGTTGTTGACTGGGCTCCCACCAGGTAAGGCACATGCTGACTCCATACTCTCCTCATCTGTTAGTCCTGCTCCCGTAGTGTGGGGAAGAGTCTTTGAGAAGGCATGAGTGTGCCGTCTCATACATGTCTGTGACTTCAAAGAACTACATGCAGGAATTGGTCCTGCTCTTGTCCATAGATTTCAGGGGGGGGAAATGTAATACTTTTTCCAGCTTCCAAGAATTGAAGTAAAATAGAGCAGTCATCTGTTTTACTGTATTACTTGAACCAACAAATTCAAGAGTAGCATTTGTTATTCTCAGGAATGACCCCATCCTCTCTCCTGCGCCCCTGCTCATATTCTGTCTTGGTTTATTTGACTTATTTCAGTTAGGAAATTGTGATATCTTTCTTTCATTTTGTTTAGAAGAAATATAACATTTTATCTTTCTATTTTGGTAGAATTTTCTCTTTTTCTTGGTTGAATCAGAACAAGGAGAGGAACAAAGTGCACTCTGACAAGCCACATCCATGATTGATTGTAAGGAGATTATTATAATTGACGGCTTCTCTGGGATAGGATTGCTAGTATTGTTTGTTCTTGCTGGTCTTTTTAAGGGACAGACTCAAACTGTTAAGACAGCTGCCGTTTCTAAAGAAATTCAGTGATTGGCATAGAAGAGCTAAAAGGTTTCATTGTTTTAAGACCTTTAAGGAAGAAAAAAAGCCTTCAGCGAATAAAAGGAGTTCACATCCTCCAAGAGCAGTACCAGGCCCTAACTGCCAAAGTGGTGAAACTCAGAGCATGTTTCCACCAATGGAAGACAGCCTTGTGTCGGACTCGGGGAACAGGCGGAAGAGTCTTTCACCCACGATTCTTGTCATCTGAGAAGACTGGTGGCCTACTCTGAAGACCCCACTGCCTTACGTGTTAACTTGCTTTTTCACCAAGGGTAAGACTTTACTTTTGTTTGGTCTAGATTTAAACCTACCATCAGTTTTTTTCTGTTTTTGTTACCAGGGTCAATTCTGCTATCTCTTCCTGACCTCTTTAGTTCTTGTAATGGCATATGGCGCTGCCACTGTTAACATTTCTAATATCTTTGGACAGTAAATTAAGCTTTTCCAGGTTTTAGAGGTAGTTTTAAAATAGAAATGCTAAACTGCTCTATTCCTGAAGAGGAACGAGCCAGGCTCTCGACAGATCGCCTGCTGTCTTCTGGTCTCTCTCTCCTCTCAGTTCATTCTGAACTTTAGGCCTCAAAGGGCTCCAGCTTTGTTCCTTCCTGGTTGAGGAAGAGTTTTAAGTGTCTTTTCAATATTGAGTACCGGCAACTGGCCAACAGATATTTGTGTAACTTTTTTTTTTTTTAAAGACATTTTAATTCAGTTACTGTAGTCAGGTGGATAAAGCTTCCCACCCTTTTAAAAACACCTTACAAGGGGAACTTTTAAAGATGGCTCATGTTAACGAGATGTCTGCCTATCTGTTGACAGTCCCAACATCAGGTGGAGGCCACTATGGTAGGCTCTTATCTGTACAGGCCTTCTAGGGCCATTCAGTACCAAGGAGACATCTCAGTTTATTTCAGCAAAGTTTGTAATGTTGGCGTGCCCCTTAAGGCTGGTAGATAATTATAGTTACCTTCCACCTCACAATGGGCACTAGCCGTTCAGTCGGACACCCCCCACATGCACATTCCCACGGCCCTTAGCAGAAGGGGGCAGCCCTCCCACAGGTACCCTTCATCCATCCCAGCGCAGTAGGTGTGACCACCTAAAAAGGCTTGAGGAAAATCAATACTGAAATATGAATTTAGTATTATACTACTTCCTGGTATATTTATGATGACTGTTCAGTAATCAGCACCTCCTGTGGGTCGATATCCAGTTTTATTTTTACCTCAAAGGGACTAACTATGAACAATCAGTTTCATTTCACCCTGACTGGCCTTTGTCTTTAAGGAATGCTGGCTTTAGAAATTTTCCCCTTCAATACCATCAGGTACCAGCTATAAATACGCTCTTATTTAAATCAGGAATCTCCAGGCTCTTCTTGTCTGTCAACAGCTCCCGCCATCTTCCTCTGTCCTTGTCTTGAGTTGACTTCTTGATGAGTTTGTTTTTATGCTGTAACACCAGGCAGTAGGTGGGTGTGGTCCACCTTGTAACACAAACACTCCCTCCCGTCTTGACCACCTACATCCTCTCCCCCGCAACTGTGGAAATAGCCCCTTTTCACAAATGATCCCCTGCCCCATCATTAAAATGTGAACTTTCAGTCCATATTCTCTTTTATCTTGAGAAAGGTTGGGTTAGAAGCAGTCTTCCTGTCTAACTCGGGGCTCTGCCTTTTAAAATGCTTTTTGTCTTTTGTTGTTCTGAGAACACCCAGAGCATTTTCTCCCCAGTGAGTCTCAACAGATTCTTAGGCAATAATTTTCCTCATTGTTGGTGATCTTAACAGTCTTGACCCTTCATGTTGTGCATTGGTTTCTGTGTTAATTTGTGTGATTTAAATCTTATGTCAGAGTGTGCTGACGGTTTGTCATTGTGTTGTGATTATTAGTGATGCTTTACTACTGTATTCACTGGGGCTGTGTTGAGACCAGCCAAATCCATTTATAGCTTTACTGAGCCAGATTTATTTTTCAAGATTTCCCAAGTGAAAGTTGGGCACCTTGTCTTTGGGGGAGGGTGTGGGAGTGGATGCACTGGGGCAGGGGTGGGAATTACACGTGCAAAGCATTCCCTTTTTCATGTACTCTTTTGAATAGCAAGGAAGTTTACTCAGGATTTGGGGATCAAGTTGTCAGCCATACCGAATTTGACAAACTGAGCTGCATGCCCTGAAAGCCCTCTCTTTTCTTCCCCTCCACATTATCTGACTGACATTACCAGGAGAACCCTCTTTGTCCAAAGCAAAGGTATCTCTACCTAATAAGAGTGGATGACTGTCCTGCAGAGGCACCTGTGACCGCCAGGTCGTCTCTGAGGGTTTCACAGCAGCATCTGTCAGAACAGGGCCCCTGTCTTCTGTAGCGTGGTCCCTTGGTTTCAAACAAGACTATCACTTAAGAAAGATGCCCTTACCCCTCGCAGAGAACTACCATACTAAGTTGGTAGGAAAGGCTTCTGGTTATAGAAACTGCCTCTGACAAATAGTTATGTTTGGGAAAGGCTGTTCTCAAAGTGATGAGCTGCTGCTCTTGCAAGGCCAGTGGTTGACTCACTTTTCTCTGAAATGCAACTTTGTTCATATCTGTGTACTTCCAGTAGCTAGAAGCTTGTAAATGGAAAAGTTTCCATATTAGCTTCATTATTCTTTCTGGGGAGGGATGAGAAAAAGCAGCAAAAAGAAATCTAATGATCAACAAATCCTGTCTCCTATAACACTGGTTTTCTTTTGTGCTCAAGAGGTTAAGAAATAGAGAAGAGAGTCTAGGAGAATTGGCTGTACCCCCTTTCTTCTTGTTGACAGAGTAGGTGCCTTGGGGTCACACACATGCGTATCTCAACTTTGCTATCGTTCCTCCTGTGGCATTGGGGCAGAACTAGATCTAGTTGACCCGTTCAAGTGAAAGTTGACTATTGTTTTTACACTGTTTAGTTGACAGTACACACGTGCACGTTCTCCCCACATTATCTCACTGCCCAGCACCGTCACCACCCAGAGGCTGCATCTACAGGGGCAGCTTTCCCTTCTCTCCTGTGCCTGTTTATGGGGCAGAGTGTAGACTGGTTGGCCCCAGTTGGGGTGCAGCAGGCGGCACGTGGACACCAGCTTGGCTCACACTCGGAAGTCTCAGGACGCTGGCTCCCTTGACTCCATTTTCATTTTCTTTTAAATAAGAGCGGCTCTAGACAGCCATAATTAACTCTCAGATTCACATTGGTGCGCTGTGATCAAATGAAGGTTTGGCTGAATCTTTTCAAATTGTAACCATGGTAATTGAGGGGGGTGGCACAGAATGAATATATAAAAATATAATGGCAATTGTTCTGAATGACTGAGTGTCCTCCTGACATGTAATTAGCTGTTTTAGCAGGATGCAGATTGGCATGGTCATAATTAAAAGGATTTCTGTCCTTTATGTGATTGGAAATGGTAGAGCTCCCCTCCCCTGTTCTCTTTTAGCACTAATGCTCCCGAGAACATTTGGAACAGCAACTTGGTAAACTAAAATAATGACATGGTACTCATGTTCTCCCCTAAGTAAAAGAGAAGGATTTGGAGTTATTTCAGCTTGAAAATGGAAGCTTTGATTATTGTTCCCATTTGACTCCTAAATTTTTGGAAGCCTTGATCACAGCCCGTTTCAACCTGCTCTATCTTTGGCAGAAACCCCAGTCAGAATCCTAAACGTGGTGAACCTGTGAAGGCCTCTCCCTCCCACCAGCTCCCAGCTCGGAGACCTTGCTAACATAACTTGAGGACAGTTGCTGCTTATTGAGCCCCTTCCTTGGTGGCCTGATCTTTCCATTGGCATCACTGTCAGGAAGTATTTACCAGACAGGAGTTTGCAGAGTTGGGTAGGGCTTTCCCACCTCACACTTAGCAGTTGCCAGCCGCCTCCTGGCAGGTGCCTTGCCAGGTGCCTTGCCGTCCTGAGTCTTCTCACTGTTGTGCTGTGTCAGCACATTGTCTCCCTAGCACTTCCTCAGCCTGGCTCCCTCTCCTGTGCTCCCTGTCCCATCGGGCCTCATGTGCTCTTGATACCATATGTGGTCCCGTGATAGGGTCCCTTACTCTTCTCATCCTACGGTGTCACTTTGGAGCGTTCTGCTGAGTCACCAGCTAGCCTTTCTCTAGAATATGGCTTGGGTTTTTGTCCCCATCATTCATGGAAGTCTTTATTCAATTATATAATCAAGAGTGGGTCCACGAGAACACCAGCACCCGGTATAGTGCCAAATGGCCTTTTATAAACTGTTTCAGGCCGGAACACTCCAGGATTGGTTAGTACCCACTACAAAAAATAAAGCTCTGGCTTTTTCCCGTATTTGCTGCTTCCCCAAGGACAAGTCTTCTCCTCTCCATACATCAGAAGGAGCCATGACCTGGATGGAATGCTGGTTACAGCTGTCCTCTCCCCAAGCACACACACCTAGACAATTTAGGGAAAGGTTCTTAGGCCTTCAGGGTTTGTTTTGCTCCCCTAAAATTACCTACAATGAAATGTATAGTAGTTGTGCTGGGTCAGGAAAAAAGTATTGAAAGATTCTTATTCCTGCTTCTCCTCCTGTGAGATGTCAAAGCAACCTCCTGTGTACCCACCCCTGGCACACCTGCACTCAAGAGACATGCAGTCACCGAGACTGTGTCTTAGAGAGCCTGTCAGTCTTTATGACAACGGGAATGACTTAGGGACTCATGACCCCAAAGAGCATCCCTTTTCTTCATTCCCAGCTGCTGAAAGATAACTTTCCATTTAAAATTTAGAATCTGTCTTAAGATTAGAGATTCTGAGAGCTGACTAGATGAGTCTAATTCTGTGATCTGTGAGACGTGCATTACAACAGCCAGCAGAACATTCGGCTCTGCTAACATTCCGAGAAAATAGAATTAACACCACAGTTGAAACCTCCCAACATCATCTGTCTGAGGGATCAAAGTATTAGAAATGCTACTTCAGGGAGGGTAGACTTAAAAAGAACTGGAGTTAGACATTTCCCTCCCCAGATATTTCCAGAGGCCACTTGGGTGATTCAAAAAACCCTGTACCATATATTTCTTTGCCACCAGCAGCCTCACCCCTTTCTCTAGTGAAAAGGAACCTTGTTCTCTCTCCTCTAGTAAAAATAATAAGCAGTGTTTACCCAGGAAATAAGTAATTTTTGGAAGCAAACATCAGAAATAAATTATTCTTGTAAGAACTAAAGATTTCACCTTTCTACAACATATTGCCGTAAGAGAGAGACACAGACATCCTGATGGTGCAGTGCCGCCTGCTTAGCACGTGGAGGCTCACGGACCCCACACCAAGCAACCCCCCAACCGCAGCCAGGCAGGTCTCTCAAGAATTCTACCTTGCTTTGCTTTCTTATGAGACCGCACTGGGTGGCCCCACAGTCACATTGCCACCACCTCTGACACTAGACCAGTGCTCCCATGAGGTTCTAGATCGTATCACAGGCTGAGCCCTTCCCCTCATCTCCCACCCCTGGTCAGGGACAAGAGCACAGTGAGGCTTCAAGGGAACTAGACTCTACGGCACTTCTTGCCTGCAGGTCAGTTAATAAAAGCAGAGAATATGAAAATCTTTCACACATTTTTGCTCTATTCAACTCTTCTAGTATTTTCTTAGTGCAAATTACTCTTCCATATCCTGCTATGGTAGGGGCTTGGTGTTCTGGAACTGTATGAGTGTCTGCCCTGGCTCCCCGGGCTCCCTACTTGGCCAGTGAATAGCAGTTGTGCATGGAGACAAATCCATGTTTGGGCTCAGTGTGATCCCTCGGGCACCTAGGATGCAAGGAGCTTCCTCAGGGGAGAGGCTGGTGCTCACTTAGCAGCTCAGTGACTGCTGGTCAGGGACACGGGCTCCACACTGACCTGACTCAACTGAAATTTACCTTCTCTCCTCCCCTTTCTTCTTCTCTTCTGCAAAAGTAAGGGGTTTTTATCAGGGTTGGTTTTGTCACCATCTCTCTCCTGATCTGCTCTCACGCCACAGGCCTCTTTGGAGCCTGAGAGTGAACCCCAGCTCAGGAGCCTGTGGAAGTGGTCCCCGTAACAGGCACATGGTCACATGAGGGTCTGATGAGGCTTTATTATCCAACCCCTCCCCCAAAACTTAATTTCAAGGGAAAAAGGTATATATGTCTTTCATCTTGGACTCAGTCCCGATTTTGCACCTCTGGTGGTAGCTGGGGTGCCCCTGACGTGTAGGAATGGGGGCTTTGCTTCGTTCGTCCCTGGGAAGGAATGCTCACCTGTTTTTCTGGCAGCAAGTCACAGACCTCTTGTTTCAGGGTTCTTTCTTAAGGATTTTTTCAACTTCCCATCATTTCCAGATTGAGTCTGAATTTTAGCCTTGTTTTAGGGCTTTCTTTGCTTTACTTGAACTAACAACCCAGCATAGACTCGCGAGCGTCATTTCTCCGCTTCATCCTTTCCTGGAGCTCTGAAACAGGACAGCAGAATGACACTAATGCTCTATTAACGTGAACCGCAGCACTCTGTGATAGTACAGTGGACTGCACAGAGGCGAGGGTGCTCAGCTGGGGGCTGCTGTAAGAAGCACTGTTGTTAGGATTTGCCTTGAAAACTACATTCCACTGTGTTAGAATCAGTGTACCCCTCAATCCTGCACCTCTGAAATGGGCACCACAAAACCAAAGCCAAAGTTCAAGAGGGGGTGTAGAGCGCTTTTTTCTTTCCAAGCATTAGGAGCTCTGGCAAGGCTTCATTACTGTTCTTTTCAATGTTGCCAGAAAAGCCTGAAGGGCCTCTCTGCTCCTAGTAGCTTGCTCACACTGACCAAGAGGGCAAGTTCACGTGGTGTGCATCTCCCAGCCCCACAGCGGCACCTGGAGCAAGCCTGCCTGGGCCTCCCCATGCCTGCACTTGCCCATGTCTTGCTGGGCTGCGGCGCACAGACCTGGAAAGGCCTCTGCTGGGCCCTGCCCCTAGCTGCTGCGCCATCACAATGCTGGTTTCTTATGACTCACCCTGACTGCCAGGTAGGACGCTCTCTCTGCCGAAGATGCCTCCCCTGGAAGAGCCCGCAGCCTTCTCTGATTTCCCCATGGGCTCGCCCCCCTTCCACGGCCATGGTCACGTTGGATATGCAGTACCTGTCAAGGATAAATTTTTATTTATGTTTTTTAAGTGCCTAAGCAAGTCACAGACCTCTGGAACTTGCCAGAGACTCGGCCTGTACCCTGTCCTTCTCCCCCTGCACTCAGCTCTCTCGGGTGGGCACAGGGTGGCTGCCCCTCTCCAGTGTCCCTGGCGTTCTGCAGGCAGAACCACCACAAGGGCAAGCAAGCGGGAGGGATTTCTTCACAGCCACGTCAGGCTGGCTTTGTCACTGTTCTCCAGTGTTTCTTTTTTTAGAGGTGTTTCTGTTCATGTGGTTATGGTCTTGGTTCATAGAGCAGTTTAAGAGTCTGCTTAGCTAAGTCTTAGTAGCTTCTCAGTTACGAAGACAGGAAAGCAAGACAGCCTCCGAGCAGCGTTCTATCTCTGTTAGATCCAAGAGGGCAAAGCGTCAATCATCCTTAATAAACATGCTGATTCATTTGCGATCGTGAGTCACTGGAATCCTGGCTGCACTTCTGTGTCCTCTCCCTAGAGTGGAGGGATCAGGGTGTCCGCTCACGGGGGCTCAGAAAGGCTGTCAACAGTAGGGCGTTAAGCAAGATCAAAAGTGTGTTTTTGAAAATGAATGTGAGAGTACTTGTTTGCTTCTTTTTAAAAGTAATTTAAGTCTGACCTTAATACGGGGCCTTTATTATGTGGTGGGTGTACACAGATTGTTTTGTGACCACACTATGTTCAGATCACATCACTAAGCAGCACTCAGACGATCTGTTGGTGCGTTAAAAGGTTTTGCAAAATGGAACAATCCAAACCCAGGCACTTTATTTTCATTAATAATCCAGCATTTTTGTTCAGACAGTGTAATAAGGGCATTCACATCTGACACGTGGGCAGATTTGCCAGTAGAATTTGGACAGTGCAGGGAGGTGTCTGAGGAAGGTGAGCAAAGGGGAGTGACTGCTGTGGGGGGGACAAACGTGAGGCTCTTCCACGGCACGTCAGCCACACCGGACTCTTCCAGCGCACTGTCGCTGGGTTTAGATGCTACCGAGTGTCTGTCACTTACCCTGGCTGTGACTGAGAGGAGATGAATGTACGGAGTGCAGCGAGCTAGGAGAATGCAGTGAAACGCAGTTGGAGGCAGCAGGAAGGGCCTGGTTCCTTCTCAGTTAGCTGGACTCAAACACTGTAGCAAGCAAGAGCAGAGTGCTGGGGGTTCCACTTCTGGACCACGTGTTCACTGCCAGGGTGGGAACTAGCTGGCGCAGTCAGATCTAAAATGGAAAGCAAGTGTAACGGTCAGTCAGGTCAGGTACCAAGGCATTGCCTAAAGTATTTAGCATCCACCAAATATTCGTGTCTCTGAGATGGGCGTGCGGGACCCCTGCCCGACTGGCACGGGAGCAGAGAGCGCCTCCCTGCCATGGCTGTTGTGTGTCTTGTCTTTGTTTCCCCTTGGCGTCTCCTCTGGTCTCTGTCCCCCATCTTGTGCACCATGTGTCCCTGAGGGCAAGTCACACCTGTGTCTGAGTCTGCTCTAGGTGTCCAGTCTACCTCAAGGGGTCATCATGGTCAGCTCTGTTCACATGGAATCCTCCGTCCATTGCCACACACACTGGAATGTATCCCCTGCCCTTCAATAACCCCCAACCCCATCTTTCCTGTAATCACCACAAACTCCTAGTGCAAATTGGATGCTGCTTTAAATGTGAAAACAATTGTTCAAAAGCTATAAAACCTGAATGAAAGCTAAAGCTGAATTTATAAGCCTTGTTGCATATGAGCCAAAAGTGCAAAAAGCTCTATATAATGAACTAACCTGCCACTCGTATAAATATAAATATATATAAATATATTAAAATCAGACTGTTCTACAAAATTGTGTATTTGTATTTTTGTGTACGTACAATTTTCTGCTAAGCAGAAGGAGGATGTAGTATAGGAAGCTGTGAGAAGAGATTTGGTTTAATCCTATTTCTTTGTTACTTATTTTTGTTAACATCAGATGCCTGTCTTCGTCTTATATGTGTATGACACTGTTTGGAAAGCTGCAGTATCTCTCTCCCTTAGGTCCAGAGTCCCTTAATGAAATCTGGCTTTAGAGAGTTGGCCACTCAACACAGAGAAGGTCACAGTTTGGTCCTGTACCCCGTGAGGGGACCCGGAGCTGCTTCCTGGTGGAGGAAATAGCTCCCCCCGCTTGATGCCGGTCACCGTATTTTGACTTCCCCCTGGGAAGCAAAAATCCACTTCTAGAAATCAGCTTCTAAAACAAAAGATTATGAGATCTCCCTAATACAGAGTGTCCCCCGGGTGATCTCTGAACTCTGGCCCAGAAATGAGAGATCCTGCTCCTGAGTTTGTGCAGACAGCAGCAGGGGCTCTGCCCGGCTGTGGTGCCAGCTCGTTGGCTGTCCCTGGGTTCCGTCTCCCTCAGAATAGTTGCTGCCTTTCTTCAGATCAGGTTACCAAAATGCCTCCCTCTGCTGAGCTGCTGACGCTTCATCTCCCAGGTCTCCAGCCCCAGTTACCTGGAGCATCTCAGAACCCACTTTGCCGGTGCTAATCACAAGAGGGGGTTAAAAGTGGCTGCCAGGAGTGGCCAGAAACCAACCAACTGGAGGCCAGGCCAAAAGACACGCTCCGGGTCCCCAGGGGCTGGCGGGCGTCCCGCTGCTGCCCGTCCACCTCTCAGCTCCACAGCAGTCCCTTTGCTGGGAAGCTTCTCTAAGGAGAGGGATACTGCACCTTCCCCTGTAGGACTCATATTTATAACAATGTGTAACGACTGTAGCAAAAAGCCCTTGTTTCTAGCTGTAAATGGTCAAAGAAACAAGTGCTCTATTGTATTGATTAAAATAGTTCAAATGAGTCCTGTATCATTGTATCTCCTATTCTGGATTAGTGCCTTTTGGACAGTAGACTGTTCTGTAATTAAAATGTAGTATACTGCTTTTTTGTACAGTTTTGTTTTAATAAAACTTTTTTTTAATTTGTGTTTATTTTAGTATTGTACCTATTAGAGAATAAAATGTATAACTGAACAAAGACTGGCTGGGAGTTCTTTGCATCAGAACAGTCATTGGGAGGTGCCTGATGATACCTACCCCAGGGACGGAGGTGTTCTGTTCTGAACATTAGTCCCGAGGACAGTTGGAAAGGATCACACAGTTAGATACCACTTGGCTAAGGGAGGCAGGCTGAGGTCAGCCAGCACCTGCACCCATCTGCTGCCCGTCCCAGCCTCTGCTGTTTGTCCAGATGGTACCAGGAGAGGCTGCACCTCTCAAGAGCTCCTGAGTCCCCAAAATGCCCCGTTCACTCCTCGCCTGTGCTGTCCTCCTTGCCAGGCTCCCAGTGCTTTCCACACTCACTAGACAAGAAACAAACAGCCTTCGACTCACCCGTGCTGACAGCTGAATTCCACACAACTGCACTCTTCCATTCCGGCCACACCCTGAGCCTCATTTTCTTAAAAGAGCATTCTCTCCTGGGACTTCACCTCCACCAGTAAAAAAACAAAATAAAAGCTGACACTTTCGTGATCTGGTTTTCTTTAAAGGCTTCCCTCTCACATCAATAGCCTCTGGAATCCATTAGACTTCTCAGTAAAACCCTAACAAGTCCAGGGCCCATTTTCTGTCCTCAGCATAGTAATTAGAAGAGACTTCTCAAACTTTTAAACTGCCTCTAAACCCTATGGGAATTGCCAAGTGGAGGTGGGCAGGATGGGCAGTGGGGGCAAGGGCCCACACAGAGGACATCCCTACTCTGCGCTCCTATGTGGCCCCCAGCAATTTCTACTTAACAGAGCAGCCGTGGAGCCTTCAGTTCCACACCCCACCCGAATGCCATCCATGGGGACCAGGCCTGGACATCTTGACTGTCCCTTCCCCAGGTCCTGTGTCCTCTTCCCTGCACTTTATGAGGCTGACTTCCTCAAGCACCACTGGCTGCAGTGTCCCTCCCATACACCCCCAGGGTGCCACCGGGTCACCCTGTTGTGGAACTCACCAGAATGGCTTGTTTCTGTTGGACTGCACTCTCCTTGAGGCCAGGCCCAGGATCTGTATGCAAACATTCCTCAAGTGACTGAGTGAATAAATGAATAAGTTAAACATGATGGCCACTAAAGTCCATTTCTGAGCCTGAAAAACTCAGGAACCCCACAGCGTTATGCAAACAAAAGACATCTCATTGAGTTGCAGGAGAGGAACAGCTTGAAAAATACGATCCTAGGAGCTAGATCAATTCTGCTTTGAGATTCCTGCCTCATTCAGAGCAGGGCAACTCCTGGCTGCCAAATTTCTGTCATTATTTGGCAGTGCTTATCTCTGAGAACAACTCTTCTGCACTTATGAATATAAACAAGTCCCACTAAGATGTGCCCTGATGGATGGCCACCTCCGATCAGCCCTCTGAGCGGCTGCAGCACTTGCAAGTGTATTTTGTATACAGACAAGGGCCGAGTGGATCACAGCACAGGGAAGAAAACAAAAGCCGTACGCAGGGCACAACCCAGTCTGCATCCATGTGGGAACGTACACCGGCCACTCATGTCCCTCACAGGCACTGGGCTGCGGTCCCCTCGCAGTCGGTGGGACTCCACAGGCATATCAAGGAAGCCGGGTCATCTCTCCCAGCCCAAAGGCTGGCCTTGCCACCCTCAGTGGTGGTCCACACTCACGCCAGGCACACATCTGGACAGATGGCAGTCAGGGGACAGCAAAACCAACACCAGGTTCCACTGCCCACAAGGATAGGGGCCCTGGCCCCTACCATGTGGCCACAACCACAATTGTTATAGAACCTTCCGGTGCCATACAGTGGAAAGGTGTGGGGGTGGGGGGTCCAGTGTGCAGACAGTCACATAAGTCAGGGTACAGAACACAGCCCCGCCTGAGGACTGTGCCTCCCAGCTGACCCAGAGGCTCCAATTACCTGAGCTCTTAAGTAAATTCCTATTTCCCCCAGAAAATTCCTATTGGCTCAGCGCTTCTGTCAAGAGGATGATGTCTAAATAAGGGTAAAAGGCTGGCCAAGGGACCAGCAGGGCCACCCCGGCTTCTTCAGTCCAAATAATGAACAGCTCAGCCTCTGGACAGTACAGAGCCCCCCATCCTCTCTGAGAACAAGATCACACCATGACGGGGGTGGGGGACGGTCTCCAATGAGCCCCCAAACCCCAATGTCAGAGTGGGAAAGAAGGAGCAGCAAGACGTTCCCAGACATAGGCAAGAAATCATCGGTTTATTCAGAAGCTGTTGGTCAGCTGACGGAGAGGCATATATGGTACAAAATTACAGCGGTTTAGTTCTTTATACAAATCATTAAAGTCTTTACAATTCATTACAGAGTCTTTGGATTTTTGAACTCTCATTTAATCTGTACCAAATCAATATAATCCCAGAATCAAAGTCACTTCTTTATACGTGAACCCATCATATTTACAAAAGTCCACATAGACGTCCCGAGACCCTCCTGACACCATTACTGTCATCGGCCCAGCAGGAAGGCACCACAGACTAAGAGAAAGATGCCTCTTACAATCAGCTGGTGTTGGGTATGAAGCACGGGCCGGGGGCCAGTCCCCAGGACTAAGACACAACAGCCAGGCACTCCCATCCAGGTGGCCTGGGAGCCAGTCACAAGGAGGACCAACTCAACACGCCTGGCACACAGGCAGGGCGAGACTCAGCAGGGAGAAGAAATACCCATTACTTCCTTTTCACATACAGGGAACTTTAAGGCCAGAGGAGGAAATGCCAGCAACAGCGGGGCCACACCCCCAGCTCAGGTCTCTCACTGAACACACATGCCCAACCTGCTGGGTCCCCGAACCCTCCCTCTCCTCACTGGTGCCCTCCTGCTCCCCCAGTCAGGCCTGGGCACCAAGGGCGTCAGTTGCCCACTTCTTGCCCTCCACTACCCAATGCAGTCCCCAGGGTGAAGGGGCCTTTCTACCCTCGTGGCCTGTATCCTTCCAAAAGGCCTGAGGGCCACGTCAGAGATGGCAGGGCTGGTGGTGGCCCTGGGCATGCAGAATGGGAGGCAGATGCCCAGGGAGAGCCCCTGCCCTGTGTTTCTGGGGTCTCCTTCCCAGGCTGGGTGGCACCAGCAGGCAGATCCACACTGAGGGCACATTCAGCACCACAGTGGAGCTCCCTGGGGCCCTCAAAGGCATCAAGGAATCCTAAGGTGGGCGCTCTATTTAAATTAGGCCTGTTGATGAGTGAGGTGAGACAAGGAGATGGAGATGGAGGCCATCCCACCTGAGACTGCACCTTCAGCCCGCCAGTTAAAGGCTGGGCTGAACTCCTGTGACGCCCCTGCTTCCCCAGCTCCAAGTTCATGTTAGTTTGCACCAAGGTGCACGGCCAGGCAAGTTAGGAGGCCACACTCCAATGTGTCCTATGGTTATCTAGCAGCGGAAGGCTGGGGTAGATCCCAGCTGCCCATGAGGGGCAGTGGATGGCAACAGGGACGCCACACACATCTTGACAAAGTCCTTGGGTCACTGCCTCTTTCCAGCCCTAAGGGTCATGCAGGTCACAGCGCAGGAGAAAAGGCAGGACAGCAGCCGGCTACAACCCTGCCAGACCCCCTCCCGCTGTGCTGTTCTCCAGGAGGCTGCCCCGCCTGTCCTCATGGGTCAGGGACATCTGTGGGGTCAGAGCTGATAGGACACCAGGGTGGCACTGTCCCAGGCTGAGCTGGGGCAGGCTCCTCCCTGGTGGGCCCCTTGTGTCTGGCCCTGCAGCTGGGGAGAGACAAGGACACCCACTCCCAGCCAGGTGCTGTGCAGCACATGGGGGTGCCCAAGGCAGCTGTGAGGGCCCACCAAGGAAATCACCCCTCCCAGTGGCAGACAAGGCTGGCCTCTGGCTGGATGCTAGACAAAAAGGTCTCAAGTATGGCTGGACTCATGACACTGAGCAGTGGCTCCTGTCTGTGGGCTGGGGCTGCAGGTGGCCAGAGGATGCTGCCATGTTCTCAGGAGCCACCAGGCAGGCAGCCCCCACCAGAGAATGAAAGCCCAGAGTCCTCCTCCAGAGGAGGTGCCAGAGGAACGAGTCCCCAGAGAACAAGAGAGTCCTCAACAAAGCTTTGTAGTGTTGTTCCAATGTGAGGACCAGAAACAGGTACCAAGAGCACCCATGCAAATCCTCATCTGAGGACTGTCCCATCTGAGGACTGTCACTGTGTGTCCACTGCCATACTCCTACCTTCCACACACACACACCCTGACCCGGCCCAGAAGTGCCCCAGCAAGGAGGTGGGGGATACCCTGGGTGCTTCCAGCTGTGCAGCCAGCACCACAGGCGGCCAGGCGAGGCTACTGCAGGCTCCCCCCACCACAGCCCCTGCTCACACCTCATCCCCCAGGCATAGGCAGGGGGTCAGAGCTTGGGAATCGGTGAGAAGCTAAACTGGACTAAGCACCTTCCCAGAAACCACTATTGCACGAAATAAGGTAATAGATGCCTCTAACTTACTTTGTCACTGACTGCAGAAGCACGACACAATTCCCCAAGCATTCGCCCATCCCAGTTAGAGCCAGGGCGCAGGTGCACCTGGGCAGAGCAGCAGGAGGGGCTTCACCCTCAGGCTGCCCCAGAACCGACCTCGGGCTGAGACAGAGGCCAGTGACGCACGGCAGGCCCCAGGCACCAAAGCCCAGGCAGACGATTGTGGCTTGCAGGTGATTTCAGATTTTGAAAAAATAAATATAAATAAATATATTCCAAGCATTCTGTTAAGGAAACAAATGGCTACAGGTAAGACTTTGCAGGTGTGAAGACATCAGAACACCCACGAAGAAACTAAGAAACCCTGTCAGAACAGCGTGGCAGGAAGATCCTGCTCAGCACGGACTGCGGCCCAGGCTGAGGCCTCGGGAGGCCAGAGGCACTTAGGGGACCATCACTGGTGTGGGAAGCAGGGCATCTCCAGGCAACTGCCAGGATGTCAGGGTGGGCGTGCCCACCTGGCAGGGGAGAAAAGGCACTAGTTAGGTTAGAGTTTAAATTAAGACATTCCTGGAGTCACCAGAATAGAGAAAAGGGAAAGAGCAACAGGAGCCCCAGCTGAGAGGCTCAGGCACAGGCGTGCAGGGAGGCGGCAGGGCTCGTGCCACCCAGGGCCTCAGTCCACAATCCCACGGCCCCTGAGGGTGCCTAGGATCTGCAACCCCACTGGGGAGGCCAAGGTGCTCCCTCATCTTCCAGGTAGTGAAGAAACAAAGCTTCCAGAGGCCCAGGGAAGACAGACGAAGTGGGAGTCACCAGCACTGCCGTGTGCAGAGAGCACCCACCACTCAGCACCCGGGGGCCGGGGTCGTCCCGCGCCCGGGGCTGTCACCTGGGAGCTCCTGCCACGCTCCTGCAGCAGCCGGCTCAGCTAGCCCACGATTTCCGGTTCTCAGGGTTCTTGTGGCTCCTGTCGGCCTTGGCCAGCGCAGCTGTCAAGGAGGCCAGGTTGGTGGCAGAGCCGGAGAGGGTGGCGCCCCGGCGGGCCTCCTGGGCGCCCTGCTGCCTAACCCCGGCGCTGCGCCTCTTCCCGGCGCCAGTGGCCCTGCGCACCCTGCCAGGCCTCACCAGCAGCCCGTAGCCGGGGCTGCACTTGAAGTACTGCTTCCCGCCGATGGAGCCATCATTCTTACCTGCAGGGGGAAGGAAGATGGTGATGTGGAGACCAGCCGCACTCTGCCCCGCCGGCACCTCCCTCTCCTTGGCAGAAGCTGTGTTCCCCAGACTGCCACCTCGCAACCACCACCAGGCGGTTCACAGGCCCTGCCCCACGGTCCAGCAGGCACGGAATGTGGCCAGTACACAGGGTGACTATCTCCTGAACAGCAAGCAATGGTCACCAGGGATGGACACCCTCCCCTCCCCAGTCCTGCAGTCCCAGTTATGAGATGACAGGCCCCAACAAGCAGAAGCCCCAGTCAGATCCTCTCCCACCTGGTGACCCAAACCTCATCCCAGGATGGAAGGTGCTGGGAAAATGACTTTTTTCTGAATCTAATAAATGGAACCAGAAAAGCTGCCCAATTGCAGCAGGTCAGATGCCACGTTGGTGCATGGAGATGGTAATGAAGGGCTGCTTTAAGGGGAGGAGGAGACACACAGGGAGCGAGGGGGACGAGGACGGGGGAGGCTGGGCAATCTGAGGGAAAAGGCCACTGCCACGGAGGGTGTCATAACAAGTCACCTGTGCTCCGCGTCCTGCCCAGTCCCTCTGCCTCAGCCCACCAGGGCCCAGCTGCTCCACCAACTACACCAAGGGCCCTCAGACAGTCCTCTCCCACTCAGGGACACCCCTCCTCCCTGCCTCACCCCAGGTCTGGACTGCCCTGTCTACCTGCCTGAGGGCCCAGGGCACTGGCTGAGGCTCAGTCAGGATATGCCTCCAGCCTCATGGATATGCCTCCACCTGCAAGCTCTCCAACCCGCTTACGTGTCCAGAGCACAGCTCGAGATGCCCCGCCTTACACCTACTCAGCCCGTGGCAACATCACTCCCTGCGGCTCTCGCCTTTCAGACGGGATCCTTGAGGCTTTCCATGGGGTTGAAAGGTTCTGTGTCTGACCCTGAGCCCTGCCGGCTGCACCTTCCCATCTCCCCCAACTCTGACCACTCATCTCCACCCCACAATTGCTACTGGCCGGGCCACTTAGGGTCTCTGCCTGGACCTTGCGGCAGCCCTCCCGCCTCCACTCTGCCCCTTGCTCCCTTCTCCACAAAGGTGAGCTCTGACACAAAAGCCCACACTTGGGGAGCCAGGGCCCCCACACACACACACACACAGCGTGCACATCTCTGCCTCCCTGAAGCTTGTTTAAGGCACTCCCCACCCCTGCCACCTTCTACCCTCAACCCCATTTTTTAAATTTTCCTCATAGCCTTTATTACCATAACTTTTTTTTGTTGGTTTTTTGGTAACATTTTACTGGTGGGAACAAAAGTCCAATTCAATCGAGGACTCTGTCTTGCTCGCCAGGTATCCTGGAATCTAAGATAGTAACTGGAACACAGTAGGTGTTTAATGATTGCTTGTTGGAGGAATTAAATTGCTGGCTAATCTTCCCTTAATTGTTGAGTTCAACCGCAGACATAAACTCCCTTCCAAATTCCCCTTTTCATTTCAGCAGAAATGGATTTAGAACATTTTTCCAGCCTGTGCTACATTAATCTGCCAGAACCACTTCCAATTCAAACTATTCTTCTGACCAATTATTTTTAAAGACATTGAGTGACTTCACAGCTAGACTTATGGGCCAGAGACAGAGGGGTCGGGGCACAGCCAGGTCAGGAGTGTGTAGCCTCCCTTGGGCTTAGGCTCAGGCCACGAACCACAACACCACAAAGCAAATACGGACTGAGTGTCCACAAGGAGACCGAGGAGATTCCTCTCGTGGTGGAGTCCGAGTCTAGTCCCTTCCTTCAGGGCACAAACAGGTGACAGACACAGCTCAGGGCTGCTGTGAGCCTGACTTCCAGATGTACCACAGTGCCTCTGTTGTCTCCAGACCTGAGCTTTATAAAGCGCTCTCTTCGTGGTGTCTGACCAAGGGGGCGGGGGGAGCTCGCTGCCTTCTCACTCTGCCCCATCTCCTTACTTAACAGGGGCACCCACCAGGCAACATGCCAGCCCTGAAGACCTTACATAGTGTGCTGGCGGAAGGAAAAATGGGGCAGCTACTTAGGAAAACAGTTTGGCAATCCCCAAAATGGTAACATAGAGATGACTTCCAGAGAAATAAATAAGCTGTATCCACAAAGACAGGCTGGCTCAGCACCCATAGCTCAGCAGTTAGGGAACCAGACACATATGCCAGGGCTGCTGGGTTCAAACCCAACCTGGGCCTGCTAAACAACAATGACAACTACAACAATAACAACAAAAAAAATAGCTGGGCACTGTGGCAGGAGGCTGTGGTCCCAGGCAAGAGAATCTCACTTAAGCTGTGATGCCACAGCACACAGCTACTAAGGGTGCCATAGTGAGGCTCTCGTCTCAAAAAACAAAAACCTGATAGGCCAGTGTTCACAGGAGCATCCTTCCAAACAGCTGGAAGTGGAAATGACCCCAACGTCCAACAACTGACAAATGGCGGAGCAGAATGTCGTGTATCCATATGATGAAACAGCACTCAGCCGTCCAGAAGAGTAAGGTGTTGGCGACACCCTGACAGGGAGAAAGTTTGACAGCCCCGAGGCAAGGGAAGCAGCCGGACGCGAGAGGCGGCACACACATGACCCCATCCCCACGGAAGTCCAGATCATGACATTTCATTCTCGTCTTTCATTTCAAAGACGAGATTAAGGGCTACCGGGGCCTGCGGCAGGGGACGTGAGGCTTCTTTTTGGGGTGAACATGCTCTAAAACAAGATTATAATACTGGCTGCAAAACTCTAGAAAGATACTAAAATCCAATGAACTGTACACCTTAACGGGGTGAATTTTATAGTATATAAATTACTTCCCAGTAAAGCTGTTCCTTTTATTATTTTTTTTTTAGAAGAGAGGGTCTCTGACCTCAAGCGGGTCCCCCTGTGTCAGACTCGCAGAGTGCTAGGATTGCATGAGCCACTGCACCCAGCCCCAGTAAAGCTGTTTTGTAAAAAGTTTCTGAAAAACAAAGTTTTCCTTCAAGTTTTGCCCTCAGTTTTCTGATCATGTCTAAGATCAGCCATTCATCAAAGGACTCCAAGGCTTGCAGCGCTCTAAGATCCCCAATCTGGTGATGAGCCCGGGTATTTGAGGAACGGAGCCTGCCAGGACCATCCTGTGTGGGACCCAAGCAGCCCTGTCAGGCAGAGCCACCACGCTGTAAATGCAGGCCCTTCTGCGACGTTAAAACGTCCATCTAAAATCACTGCCACGTTTAAAACAAACGTCCATCTAAAATCACTGCCTCAATAACTATCTTGGGTGTCTGAGAAATTTAGGGAAGTAATAAAAAGGGAATCTTAACTCTTAAAAAGCTTAGGAAACTCTTATCAAGCAAAAACTCCTGATTTTGAAAGGTGGCAGCTAGCTGGGAGGCTCGGAGAGGACGAAGGATGTGCCCAGGGCATGCACAAGCCCTCACCGCCTCCCTACGGCACATCAGTGGCACAGTAGCCCGACCCGGGACGTGTGGCAGACAAGGGCTCACCTGCAGGTAAGTCCAGCTCCACGCCGACCCACGTCCCCTCCTGGAAGTCGGTGGGCCCAACGTATCTCACGACGCCCACCTTGTTGGTGCCCACGGAGACATACTCCCCCTCTTTGAGCCACTCGGGGACTTCGTCAGCTTCCTCGGAATCTGAGGCAATGTCCGGCCCTCCCAGAGCATGGGCACCAGCAGCCAGCGGGTCCCCCGGGCCCCCTGCAGCAGGGCTGGCGTCAGCGCCCAGCATGCGCGAGAAGGACTGCAGCTCGGCCGTGCACACCCTGCGCACACGGAATGGGGAGGCAGGTGCAGGGGGCTCCAGGCCAAGCTGCTGGACGGCCGGGGGAGCCGCGGCCTCCGGCTCTGGTGGGGATGGTCCAGGGCTTGGGCTGTCCAGCTGGGCAGCAGAGACGTTCTGTGTCCCCAAGACAGCAGATGGTAGCTGGGTCTCAGCCTGGCTGCCGGGAGTGGTAGCACCAGCCGGGGCCGCGGCGTCCAGGCTGGGGCCAAGGGCATCAGACAATGTGGCAGTGGAGACACTGTGGGAGAAGTACCCGCTGGAGGCCTCGCTTAGGGGGCTGGGGGGCCCGTCCTGCCCTTCTGGCGTCGGGGGGACCACGGAGACTGGTGTTGGGGAAGGCACTTTAGCCGGCTTGTCGCAGATCCTCACAGCAGGGGCCGCTACCTGCACCAGCACCTCGGGGGACACATCAACGCCCACGCTCTCTGGCTGAGCCTGCAGGGGACAGGAAGAGCAGAATGGCTTAGAGCTGAGGCTGCTACTTGCGTCCCACAGAATCCATACCAGGTAACCTATGGCTCTGATGACAGGGCCACCGTGTCACAGCAGCCTAGTGTCTGTGTGACCCTGGCTCAACAAGTGCCCGGTGCTGAGGGGCGGACAGTGGCCAGGTGCGGTGTGCCTGTGCCAGAGCCCCTGCCTGTCTGCTTTTTCCCCTTTCACTCAGAATAGGTTCCAGGGCCCGCCACCCAGGGCCAGTGTGGTAGGACCGACGCACACAGCAGGAAACAGGAAACCCTGCTGCCCACGGCAACCTCCCAGCCTCCTACACTGAGCCCACGAACCAGATGCCCTGCCCTCCATCAACATCACCAGGAGACTGACAGAATCACTGAAGAGGCCAGGAGAGCTCTCTTCTCCAGCAAAAATCAAAATGATGATCTCATCGGAGGATCTGAACGTGCTTGGCCATAGCCTCGCCTGCCAGGCACTGAGGAGGACGACCCATGGCTGGAGGCCTGGCTGGGCACTTCTGCTAGGAGTCAGGTGGAAGGGGAAGCGGGGAGAGGCTCCCACAGGCCACAGCCCTTTCTCTGCCAGGCTGCTCTTCTGGCTGCCATGGAAGCCTCTCGCACGTCAGGGCTCACAGGGCCTCCTGACCCTGGAGATCGGCCTCTCCCCTCGCCCCACTCTGAGTCACCCAGACAGAAGACACACACAAGGCCCACAGCTTATGGGGGCTGATGACAGCCACCGCCTATCCAAACTCTACTGTCCCTGAGTTGCGTGTGAGGCCTTCTGTGTCTACAACTTGAGCCACGTGACGAGGAGGCCAGGTTCCCTGTCCATCCCCATTCACGGTGACGGGAAAAGAGAAGGTGGGAGCGGGGAACGGGGAAGCCGGGTGGAGAGGGCCGCTGTTCACAAGAAGAAATATGTTTTCCAATATTTACGGAAAAATTATTTATATTACAGGAATGGTCATTTTCCATTTGAAATGCAGGATTTATTTGAACTGGGAAGCAGCTGAGATCTATTAGTCTCTTACAGTCACTGGGCTTACCTCAGCAGCCTGATAAATCACGCACTTTCCCGAGAACTGTCATTTATATTCCTCTTTCCAGAGCCCCGCTTCTCCCCACAAGGCACCTTTCCGCGTATGAAATTAACGGCACCTCTGGAGATTAACAGCCCATTTTGGTGATGGATCTCTAGGCTGCAAAATTTACTCAATCCAATAGATCAATAACTGTCACCAGCATAAATACTCTAAAAGATTAGGCGAGCCTTCCATCATTTTTCTTTTGCAGCTTATACACGTCTTATTTATTCTCTGCGATTTGTGTGTTACTATCACTGACCCGGCAGGGAAGAATACACAAACAAAACCAAGAGAGTCCAGAATCGGAACAATAACTATGGTCCTCCAACAACTTCCGTTCCCTATTCCCCCTTCGGGGGAGGCCAGTCATTGCCGGGTCAGAGGGGTGGCCCTGCAGTGACCCAGCCTCACATTTACACGTGAAATCACTGACGTCGGGTGGGCAGGAGGTGTGACTGCATTCGTGTTACAACGTGGCCCAGAAAGGTAAAGGATTTATCCAAACCAGCAGGAGAAAAGACGAGAATTACGGGTCAGACCTGCAACAACCACAAAGAGACCAAGATAGCAGGACGTGCTGACTGGCCGCAGCGGCCTTGGTGGTCACAGCCGTCGGGGCACTGCTCACACCTGCCTGGAGTTGATGTGTCTATAGAACCGAGGTGCTATCTTTGGATTATACCCTGTGAAGGACATTTCCAGAGACTTCTACGAAAGCCCAGACTTAAGGAAACCCCCATGACGAGCTGCTGACACCTTGCCAGCAAGGGCCTGCTCTGTCCGGCTGGCTGAGGACCCTCCGACCTGCCCAGCAGAGTGACAAGCTCCACTCCCAGGGCAGGGGGAACCCAGTACTGCCTACAATGAAGTTCACAAACACCAACCACTCACTGGCGCAAAAGGGCCTTTCAGATGGGAGTGAACTCACAGGGGGGGTCCAGGGGTTCTCTAAATTATCATGCCTTTGTTGCTGTTGTTTTAATAAAGAAATTTTTCCTATGAAGATGTAGCATTTCCTAAGAGAAAGGAAGCACAGTGGGAGAAAACAGATTTGCTATTCATAAGACCACAAGTGCTGTTGATCTGTGGGAGATCATAGAGACTATTTTCTCCCCAGCTCAGTGTTAGTCTTTTCACGCTGATATCGTGAATCAGAACGAAATGTAAAACTGAGAATTAAGCAAACACTTAGGAGAGGGAGACTGTTCTGTTTATAGAAGTCTCCTTTGCCTAGCAGTGGGCTATTAAAGCCACAGACTATATTAGCAGCCAAGCACCTAAAAGTTTAGCAATCATATGATTAACAAGTTGAAAATAGAAAAGTGTAACAAGCGAGATGGGGAGGAAGAAGACAGTGACCTACATCGTAGTTAATTATCAAACTGGAATGTGAAGGAAAGAACTGCAGATGTGGGCTCAACAGTCTCCCATCGGCGCCACCCACTACCTGTGGGGCGGCCAGCTGAGGCCCAGCGGACTCACCTCCATCCTGGTCGCCCCGGCGTCCGGGAAGGCAGGCTGCACCATGATGCGGGGCACGGGCTGGGAAGACAAGTGCACGGTGAGGGCTCAGGAGTGACAGGCGGGGACAACACGAAGGTTTTCAATGAACAGACTGCACAGCCAGCACAAAGAGCTCTCAGAACTCTCTACAACTCTTCCACTGCCCCGTGGGCACACAAGCGCCAGGCTCCGTGCCCTGCAAGGAAGAGGAACCCAGCCAGGGAACGAGCCCCTGCTCAGATCAGTAATGAGCTTGGGGCTTCCACACTCCACACTCCCTGATCACACACACGACATCTCCACGGCCTGCACCTGTACAGACGAGCACTGAGACTTTCTATAGAGAAGTGACAGTGACAGGAAAGATCTGGAAAAACTCCAGGCAGGAGGTAGAGCCTCAACTGTGCCTTCGCGTCTAAGGAGAACTCGCAGCACATGTTGTGTGGCCCCAGGCGGAGGCAGCCTGGCTGAGGCACAAACCAGGGCCTAAGACAGGGCAGGGGAGGGTCTGCAGGTGGCGCGGGGCACCTTGACCCCTGAGCAGGACAGCAGAGGACAGCAGAAGAGGAGAAAGGCTGACCAGGTGGTAGAACAAACTGCTAGAGAAATATTTAAAGTCCAAGAAAGCAAATCAGCTACGAGATTCCAGCAACAGAGCAGGGCGAGGCGGTAAGAGCCCCAGTGAATGGACACAGGCCAGCGTCCCGTGAAAGGCTCTGCCACTCACGCACACGTGGTTCAACGAGCAGTCAAGAGGGAAGAGCATAAAAAGTCATGGCAACCAGGACAAGGAGGGGACAGACATGGGGGGACAAGCAGGAGGGGAGGGGGAATCAAAACTCCATTCCGTAGCTGCTAGGAGAGGTTGGTGGGAAACTGTGGACAGGCAGGTGTGATGGTCCCTGGGGGAGACGAGGCACCCCCACCACCCCCCACCCCCACCCCGGGCAGGAGTCTGGGCCTGGCCTCCCGTGCTCAGGGCCCCTTCAGCAAAGCAGATGGAGTCTACACCTCCTGACAGAGGCTGACAGGCTGCTGCCCGCGCTGCCCTCCTCCTGGGAGCTCAACTCCTACCCAGAGGGAGAAGAGCCCCCAGCGTGGCCCCTCAGCAGGCCACTCGCCCGCGCTCACAGGTGTGAAGCATCCTGGGTCTTGGTCCAGGGCCCTGCTATGCCCACGGCTGCCTTGGAGCTGCTTTTGGAAGAAAAGAGCTAGAGGGGTCTGATACTGCTGAAGGTGGGGGCACTGGAAGGGTCTGAGAAAAGGCTCCGTGGGGAGGAAACCGTGAGAGATTAGCCTGAAAGAGATGGAAGGACCGAGGGAATGAACCGCAGGAGCGCCCATGTGGCCCTGAAGACACTGGTGGGTACCAGAGCGGGCCAGGGCCAGGGATGTGTTACAGACAGACCACAGGAGCAGCCAGCAGGACAGAGTGGGGGCGGACGCCCTGCCGCAGTTCAGCCGTGACGGGCCCTGAACTACCAGCCTCTTCTGGTCTCCCTCACTCGTCCCCCTTCCACTGCCCCCGCCCTCCCCACCGCCAGCCCCTTAGACAGAGCTGGCAGGAGGCACCCATCCTCCACTCTGTTTTTTCCATAGTATCTAAAGCCTCCCACAAATGGCAAGGTGTTCAGAGTATACCGGTATTTCTTAGTAAAGGCAGGAAAGTAAGTCTCTCCAGCTCAAACTCTAGAATACTCACATTCTTCATCTGGCTTAAAATAGATGAAGTTGGGGAATAATTGTTTCCACTAAGGTGACACCTCTTTAAGGCATCAAAATGGAACAGTCCCACCAAGAATGGAACCTTTACTAACGTGACATGACTCTTGCCTTCCTAAAGAGAGCACGAAAACAATTTACACTTTCCTTTATGACTCAGTGTGATGAGAACTCAAAAAACGCTTAATAAATATTTAGCTAAAATAAATTTAAGGATCAGACTGACCCTAATTCTGCCTCTCAATGTACAAAATGAGTACAACAAAGATTTCGGCAGCTCTTCCCACGTGCAGGGCGATGCACCAAGCACTGTGGGCAACACACACGTCCGGAAGGCTGCAGTGGGCGGACAGGCAAGTTGACGGCGGAGGGGGGGTGGACACAGAAGAAATAATAAGAAAGGAACAGGATAGCAGAGAGGTTTCAGAAGGGGACAGAGTCATAAACAGGATGGGCCTTAAACACCTGCGCCAAAGATTTTATTTTGAGCCAGGCCTGTATAGCACGACAAAGCAAGGTGGCAGAAGATCCCCTTCTGTCCTGCTCACTCTTCCGCAGGGAGAGAACCATCCAGAATGCCCGGCACTGGGCAGAGGTAAAGAAGTCAGGGCCACCGGGAGGAGGCCTTGTGAGTTTATGGCTGAGTTTCAGGGGCAATAAGGAGCTGTCACAGGTCACTGAAGGAAGCCATGACAAGCGCTGAGCTTTCAAGATTAATCCTGGGACAGGAAGATACTAAACCAACAGGGATCGATGGCAAAGGGCCTGCACCTCCATGGTCAGGGGAAAAGGAAAGAGAAAGGAAAACTCAGAGGTAGGAAGGAGACTATGTAACACTTGGAAACCAGTGGCGGCGGGAGGCTGGGGAAAGACAAAGAGGATACTGACACCTGGGAAGCACGGTGACAGGAAGCAGGACAGGTGGTGGTGCCGGTAGAAAAGAGAGCAGCACATGACCGCGGAGACTGAGCAACCGCCCTGCAGAGCGCAGCCTCCTCATCCAGGGCACCAAGCAGGTCCACCGAGTATGCAGAGCCCTAACTGCGCCAGGCGCCCTTCCTGGGGAAGAGCTGCGACCCCGTGTGCCCCGCTTGCATTTTAATGCTCTGACATTTCCCCCGTGTAACAGTCACCTCTTACTTCAGGAGCTCAGAACATTTCAGATCATACGTTCCTTAATCCTTACAAGACATCTGGTAACTATTAATAAAAATGACTGCAGAGTATTTTGCAGCTATAAATATTAAGGAGAAGTCCCATGAGGGAAGTGAATATAATTATCTACATTTCACACTACAGAAACCAAGGCTCAGACAGCCTGTACTTAGAGCTTAAATGCGTTCATGCTGCTGCGTGAGTTAGTGGCAGAGATGGAAAAGGACAAAGTCCTCGTGTGCCAGCTGACCCTCGGTCACACTGCCTGCCCGGCACTGCTGAGACTGAGCTGATGCACAGCGTACAGACAACAGGTCACCTAAGAAATAGTTCAAGGAAAAGGCAGGAACTTCTCTGATCACAGCCTGACATTTTTTAACTTGTGGCTTTCATGTGACACATAAAGATAGGGTAGATTGGTCCAGAATTTAACTTGGCCGGGGTGAGGTGGCTTGCACCTGTAATCCCAGCACTCCGGGAGGCTGAGGCGGGTGGACTGCCTGAGCTTAGGAGTTTGAGACCAACCTGAGCCAGAGTGAAATCCCCATCTCTAAAAATAGCTGGGCATTGTGGTGGGCACCTGTAGTCCCAGCTACTTGGGAGGCTGAGGCAAGTGAATCTCTTGAGCACAAGAGTTTGAGGTTGCTATGAGCTATGATGCCACAGCACTCTACCGAGAGCAACAAAGTAAGAGTCTCAAATAATAATTTCTTAACTTGGCATAAAAGCTATTTTGGAGACCCCTCTACCTGAAGAACAAAACTTTAACTCCCTGGCCTGGGGTCCACAGTGCTCTGGACACCAGCATCTCTGTCCATCTGGCGGTGTTATTTCTTATTTTCAATGAGTCACCTGGCACCGTAACTATAGTTTGAGTAAACCCATTCCCTCTGGGCTTACACGTCTACATGGTGTAAGCGACACAGCCCAAGGAGACCAGCTGATGGCTGCCCAGGGGTCCTGGCTGGGGCCACCATGACCCTGCCTGCCACACGCCCTGTCAAGCAGAGCCTCACAGTAGTAATGTGCTCAGTGTGGGAAGGGGACTTGGGACCCCTGGCGAGGGTCCTGCGCTCACTCGTTCCCCTCCACTCACCCTCCCCAGCTGCCTCCAGCATGAGCTTCCCCAACTTCAGATGTGTCACGAGCTCTGCCTTAAAGCCGTCACTGATGAGTCCCCGCAGGTGGACGAGACAAGGACACCTGGACGTCCTGTACTGTGTCTTTCTACTCATCCCACGTGGCTTCAAAGACTGAGTGATTCATTCTGTAGCCACGAGCATTTGGTTAGTCTCCATCGCACAGCTGAAATCTCTCAAATTTCACATAATATTTTGCTCTCTAAGCATCGGGCTCTTCAGCCTGAGACAAGGTGTCCCCCGCCTCCAGCTGAGCCTCAGGTTCTGTGGCATCTTCTGGCTCCGCAGCCACTGCCCACGGGTGACCGCTCAGAATGTCAGGTGTGGCTAATGTGACTGAGGAAGCCAAATTTTTGTTTTACTTCATTTTAATTTAAAAAATTTTAAACTTAACAACTGAAGTGCCTTTAAGTGTGTTTGGAACAGCCTGGGCACGTAGGTCTCTTTTTCAACTGTCAATTTTATGAATTCTAAATGGAGATCAAGTATTTCCGACGGAAATTTAGTTTCTGAATTGCGATGTGCTAGAAATGTAAACTACGCACCTGATTTTGAGGACTCTGTATACGAGAAGGATGGGAATGTCTCGATAGTTTTTCTTACACTGATTACAGGTTGATACGTGAATATACTGGGTTAAATTGTGTCATCAAAATTAGCGCTACCAGTTTTCTTTTTACTTCCTTGAACGTGGCTACTAAAAAATTTTAAATTACATACGTGGATTGAACTACATTTCTGCTGGGCAGTGCCGCAGACGTCTAACTAGGCCTTGCTGTCAAAATGACGCCTATGAAATCCCTGGCACAGTGCCAGGGACACAGGGCGCTCTTGGGAGGCCCATCTGTAAAGTATCCTGGTTACAGAAATCACTGATTTTTCTGTGTTTAGTAGGAGTACATTTTAATCACAATAATCGCATCTGATCCAGAAATCTAAAGTTTTCTATTAATCTGCGCTGAGTCCCAATGCCCTATTAGAATGTGATGCTAATTCTATTTTCTTTCAAGCAAAAGAACTTGA